TTAACCCTTGTCATGTTATGTTTGTTGTGGCTTCTCATTGTTTTGATATCCCTTGCTCGATGACTAGCAAGAGGAAAGTGTGGGGGAATTTGATGAGTGGCATTTATGCCACAATTAAGGTTCATTTTGATGGTCATTTTCCCACATTTGCGGCTTGTTTGCATCCTTTTATTTGCACTTAGTTCCCTTTCCCTATATGTATCTTCTTTCCTAGATTTTTCCCTTTTTCCTACTCTTTACTTTGATTTCCATGATTATTCTTTGTAGGAATCGGGGTCTTCAAGAGGTGGAAGCCTAAAGTTTAAGGAAAGCTGAAGATAAGCAAGGTTAAGGAGAGGTTCGGCCGAACCCCCTGAAGGTGCGGTCGAACCAGGGTGTAGCCGAACCTGCTCCACTGTCCGGCCGAACGTAGAGGCAGAGTCAAGTTGCATTTTGGCGATTTTGCAGGAGTGGTTGAACCTCAGAAGTTCGACCAGACCAGTATCAGGAGAGTTCGACCGAACCTACCCATAGTTCGGCCGAACCTACCTTGTAGTCCGGCCAAACCTTCCCAGTGTTCGATCGGACCACTCCCTTACTTCAGCTAGCTGTGTACGGACTATAAAAGTCCCATTTGAGAACGTTTTAATGTCATTAGATTAACTTAGTTTTAATTTTCTGCATTTTTTTAGCTTAATCTAGAGAGAGAAACACTATTAGTCTTCATTTGGTAGAAAGAGAAAGTGTGGATTTCTTCATTGATGAAGTTGGATTTTGAAGAAGAAGCTTATTTAATCTTTTGTAGATCTACAACTTCAATTAATGAGCAATCTCTTACTCTTTCTCTTTACCTTTGCATTTAATTTTGTTTGTTTACTTTGATTTTACTTCTTTGCTTATTGATCATGTTGATGCTTATTGATTTGGTGATTGATATTGTTTTCAACATGATTTTTGAGTAGTCACTTATCCAAGGGTGTGGGAATGGTGTAGTTGCCAATTGTTCATGCTTATAATGTTGGGATTAAGTTAATTGTGATTAAAATCTTTGCATGCTTGATATTCTTTGATCTTCTTGCAAGTGCACATTATTGGTTGATTAAAGGTGAATCTTTGCTAACAAGAAACGGAAGTTGACTTAGTTAAGGTTCATTACTATCGATTGTTCATTGATTGCACCTCCCAATATATGGTTCTAATGTGGAAACATAGAGGTTATGTTAGGAGAAACCGATTAACCCCGGAAAGCGGTTAGATTGGACCTTATTTCGATATTCATGCATGTTTAGTTCACTATTAATTTAATTTTATGTTATTGCATGATCAAGCGGCACCTACATCTACCCATTTCCCTTGTTTATTAGTTATATTGATTTTTACTTGTTTTATCTTTAGTTTAATCTCTTAGTCGTTCTTATCCTTTGTCCTGAAATAGCTTAAAGTCTAGTGATGAATGCAGTGTTTATGTGCTTCTCCCTATGGTTCGACCCCTCTTCTTGCCATATACTTGTATTAGGATAAGTTGAGTGTTATAAATTTTATTTGATTTAGGTGTAGTTGTCTAACGACGCGACTATTCCTCTATCAAATATCAGTCTCTTTTATTCAATTTACATTCACATTGCTTTTAAGGGAAAATGAATTTTGATTTCTAATCCTCTAAAGCTCAACCAATATATTACTATCAAGGGCAGGAATTGCACCCTTAGGTGTCTTAAACAAACTACCTAATCTGCTAAATATTTAATTAATGGTTATCAAGATACCCAATATACATAAAGGTAGTCACAACTCTCAGACACTCTAAATACTGTAGTTTTTCTGAGAGTGAATTGGTAGCATAAATATTAAATGACCCAAGAATCAGATATTACTACATATATTCAAACAAATCATAAGCACAAATCAAAACCACTGACTACTACAATTTTTTTTGGCATGTTCAGAATTTGATATGTTTCGCTACTTAACATCTCCTTAGGTGCCTCATAATAAAAGATAATGTTTATTAGAGATAATCAAAGTAAGTGAGAATCAAATTAAATGTAAATAAATCTTTAACTAGGAGTCATAAGCAGTATAAAGTAGGTAAAACCAACACACCTCTAGTATCTAAATCCCCATGTAGCATATTAATCGAAAATATGAATTAGAAAGTTAAAACTTCACAATTAATCAGATTGTTCACCAAACATAATATGAGTAGCAATGCTAGAATATAATTATCATATCACTTTAATAAAAGTATTCAATTTGACAACTCACCACAACTTCCAAGCCCCCTTAACCCATAAAAATAATTGAGATTTGAGAAATACTTGCTTGCAATTCGCATATAAGTATCAGTAAGTAATAAATAATAATAAAAAAAACAATTCTTGCTACTGCTATATATGCAATTCCCATATAAGTATCAGATAAAAAACCACTAAAACCAATTTGCAATTCGCATATAAGTATCAGATAAAAAATAATTCTTGCTACTGCCATATTCCGTAAAAAAAAAAACAATTTGCATATAACATATTTTAATTTGCAACATTCAAGAACAATTTATGCTTCGTATTATCATCAGATAAAAAAAAAATCGCAAATCAATCAACTCGCAATTCAATCAATAATCAGATTAAAACCAATTCGCAATTAGCAATGGATATCAGATTAAAATCAAAAAATGGAAAAAGAAAAACAAAATAATAACCCTAAAATTCGCAATTGGAAAATTACAGTAAGAGAAAGATGGAATGGACTATATGAAGGAGAAGAATGAGATACTGACCTGGGAGGAGATGCGGTGGCGCAACGACGACTGTTGACGACGACGGCAAAAGGTCCTTTGTTCTGAAATTCTAAAATGGACTCTTTTTTTTTCGGGAAAAAGAGTCCTGTATGATTATGAATAAAGGAATAAGAATAAGGAGTGATATTAGTTTTTTTTTTTTTTTTTTTTTTTTGCAGCAACAACTTATTATACTAAGGGTTTCTTATTTCTTTATTAATAAATTTTAAAAACAATTGTAGCGAGTTACAATAGTAGTTGCAAATTTTATCAAAAAAATGGTTTCGAAATTATTAATCTTAGCGACTTTAACTTAGTCGCAAAAAGTTATTAGAGCGTCGCAAATTAGTGACCACATAGCAACTACTACAAAGTCGGTTGCAAAATTGGCAACTACTCATTTTTTTCAGTCGCAAAATACTTCCTGCGACTAATTATTATGGTAGTCGCAAAAACTAGTTGCTAATTAGCAACCGCGTAGCAACTACTTCAAAATCAGTTGCTAAAGTTGCAACTACTCATTTTTTTTGTCGCAAAATTAATTTTTTGACGGATTACTACGGTAGTCGCAACAATCAGTCGCTAATTTCCCTTTTCTTGTAGTGTTCAAAGGTTTGAAGGACGGGTCGACTTTCAAGTTCGAACTCGTTCGCAAAAAAATCTTCACCCTCCAAGGAGCCCTGATGGAGGCGGACGCCTACATATAGGCGATCGAGCTCCGATCCTCCAATAAGCAATCAGACTCTAAGAAGTCTGATCAACAGAAGGAGGGTCGGCCTGCTCAGCCATCTCTAAAACCAGAAGAGAGCAAAAAGAAAAAACATATCTGGGCGGTTGATAGCTCTGATCAGCCGGCCTAGAAGAAAAAGAAAGAGTGGAAGTCGTACGTCCCAAGGTACGAGTTCCACAAGGACAGCTACGCCATCCTCGTGGAGATAAAGGATTGGCTGACTCTAGAGAAGCCAACTCCTATGAAAGGTGCTGCTGAAAATCGGAACAAGAACAAACACTGTTTTCACTGCTTCGGCCTCAAGCAGACGCTTGATCGTCTGGACAAAAAAGGAGCGCTGATATCCTATGTGGAAAGTCCAAAGTGACTTCAAAATCGAATCCAGGGCAGTCAAGAACAAAGACTCCCCAGCCTGCTATTAGCACTGAAACGGATGAAGATCTAGTCTATACGATAGCTGGCGGATTCCCCGGAGGTGGCCCGACCATCCAGGGCAACAAGGACCATTTGAGAAAGATGGTCCATTATATTGATGAGGGGCAGGCAAGGACCATCCAGGGCAACAAGGACCTTCCCCGAAGTCATCATCACCGAGAAGGACAGAGGAAAATTCCGTCGGCCGCATGATGACTGACGAGGGGAAAACTAGGTCGTTATATAATCTTCCATTGGTCAAACTAAATTTATAAACACTTAAGAAACCTAAATACGAGTATAGAGGCAAGTCAAGGGTCGAAGCCAAAGGAACGGTAATGTTCAAGCACTTTCAATTATGCGCCTTAGCTAGGTCAAAGACGGAAGTAAGAGAGAATACTAACAACTAACGAAACAAGTAACCAAGGAAATAAAACACTAGGACCGGGATCAACAATTAATCATGTCAATTTCAACAACTTTGGAAGATCATGCCAATAAAAGGTTTTGAAGACTAATGATAAGAGCAATCAATTGAAAACAAAGAGCTATCTCCTAATTGTTAAGCTAGGGTTCACTATGAATAACAAACCAAGAGAATCACAATCAAAACCAATCGATAATGGCAACTCCTAAATCAATTGTTCGTGTCATGAGCAATTATAATGCAATCTAGCATAATTCTCAAGGCCTTATCGAATTACACACATGCAAACCTTCATTAACAAGTCTACAAAAACTACATATTCTCGACGCTTTTCTCTCGACACCTCAAGAGAGCAGTTAGACCAAATAAGAACTATCCGCGTTTTGGCGACGCTTTTCATTGTCGAATAAAAATCCTATTACTTTTCTGTGTTGTGAATGAATATTTCACGTGATATACATTATATTCCTCACCCATGCATTTATTTTTAAGGAATTAAAAATGGCACCCACTTTTATTTATTCGATGTTGCATCTTCCAACCCCAAACCCCTAAAATGATAAATCAATTCATCTTCCATTCTCAGTATGTTATTCTAATCGCAGTATCTCTTTTTGAAGCTACGGATTAAAATGTGTTTTGCTCAAAGATTCAATTCCTTCAGGTATTTAATTTTCTTTCTTCTTAATTTTTTAATTTATAAGGGTTTTCTCCTAGATCTGGTTGTTTAATTAAGTGCTTGATTTGTGCTTAATTTGAATATGTTCTTTCTTTTATGTTTTAAATGAATTATTCCCCTTGAAAATTGAAAGTTGTCTCCATTTAAATTAGGGTTCACTTTTAAATCCAGGTAAATTTACGGTTATAAGAAATGGCATATCTGATTAAATGTGTGGATTTCATTATAAGAATTTTTTATTCAGTCGATTCGATTGAAATGGAAATTGAGAAGTAAATTCCTAAAGAGAAGTTGAAAAGCAGTAAGAAATTATGGGTCAAAGGTTTTGTGTTTCAACTAGCAAATCTAAAATGAATACTGTTTGGTTTAATTATCATTTGTTTTTTTTTTTTTCTGTAAATTCTGATTTTTTTTCTTTAAGTTATGAATTTCTAGATTTTTTCTTATTTGTCTTAATTTAAATTTTCTCTAAGCTCTAAATTATGAATGCTTGATATATATTATTGGGACAATTGAAATTTGGAATGAATATTGATGGGTTAAATTGTCAATCATGCTTCCTCAATGCGGTTTTTAATTTCGGAGTTCTACCGATGACATAACTAATTAAAATCCTCTTATAAGGATGTAGCAAACATATATCTAGTGTGGTGGTGATTTTCACTATGCAGAGTAGATTATATTGGAGGTGAAAGGATGGTTGTATGTCAGACCATGGTCCTTGTGGCCTGGTGGGAAACTTTTCCCCTATGGTTATAGTGGCTTTGGGGAGTGCTAGACAGGTGGTGGTCATGACTAGGTGGGATTTGAGTAAAAGAAGATAGATTCAATGGATCAGGTATGAATTTTTTTTACCTACAATTTTTATGCTTAACACATAAATCAATTGATATACTAAGCTTATATATGGTACTTAAGATCAGAATATCCTTGTGTGCATTTGATCTCTATATACTAAAACATACTTATTATGGTGCATATTGGCACATTTCTTAACAATTTATTTCATTCTCCATGGATTCAAGAAAGTTCAATTTATTAGCTAAGGCTATCCATCTTTCTTGGAAAGTATTATAAGTTGTTGTATTTTTTTTATAGTTGCTCAATGCATTAGTTTTTTGGAGAAGGGGTGCTGTGACGGTGCTGAGAACAAGGTACCTAGATTTTTTCTTTCTTCCTTTATTGTGATTATGAAAATCTGTTCAGTGATGATCTAACTTAATAATGTACAAATTATGCATACTGTTAATTGAATTAGAATGAACCCAGAAAAACTAGGTTTGAGCTTGCTTAATCTTCATCACTTAAATTACTTTGATTATTTAAACTTTTGTGATGATTATTGTAAGCCTTTATTGGTATCATATTGTTTGTGGTTCTGATTATATTTGTTTGAGCTTGCTTAATCTTCATTACTTGAATTACTTTGGTTATTTCTTGTATATTGTCTTTTTCTCAATGGCTTGCTTATGTTGTAAACTGCCTTTTTCTTTTTCCTTGGGTGTTTCCTCTCTACAAGGAGCCAACAACTTTGTGATTACATTTCCTAGATCTTATCATGGAGGTTTCAATCTTGGTAAGCAATTACGGTAGAATATATGTACATGATTAAACTGTAGTTTTTTTTCTTGTATAGTTTGTTGATTTAAGCTTCCAAAATATTGAGTCATTAGATATTTCAGGCTTGAACTGTGCTGAGGCTGTTAATTTTGTTCCTGCTGATTGGTTACCTCATGGAGGGTTTGGATCAGAACTGTATCATAAGCCTACTGTACTTTCTCATGATGAGCTGCTTTGCGTGGCTGTTAAGGTTGGCTGACTCAAATGAAATCTATAAATTATTTTTCCCAATTATAGTGCATATATATATATAGTGTGGTATCATAAGGCTAAGATTATAGTGTGGTATGGTCTATATGGTGGATCACTCACTAGGTTTTTTTTTTAATTTTTTTTTTAATTTTTATTGTTCGGTACATCTTGTTACTTCAAGTGGGTCCTTTTGTTGACTATTATGTTTTCAATAATATAGGATCGGAGTATATGAAGGTTGAGTTTTGTGTAATTAAGTCAGTCTTTGTCATTTTTTTTCCTCTTGATAAGTTCTTTTCTTGTCATGAGCAGTATACCTTTGCCACCTGCAATCCATGTTTCTCTGTTTTTGTTTTTGGTTAATAATTGGAATTTCTTTACAAACATATTTCTCATAGCTATATCGGGCCTGTCAATTCTGAGAACATGATTTTTAATAATTTTGTGTATATACTAAAGAAATGTGACTCTGGTGCTTGTGTTTGGCTCAGAAGTGTTTAATTTTATGACATGATGAGTGAAAATATGTTCTTGGTATTAAATAATATATGTTAGATTGTTGAGGATTTGATACACATCCTTGAGTTGAAATGAAGACTCGGGGTGATCTTAAGATGCCAATTTTTTCATTCCACTTTTATTGACTTCTGCTTGTTAGCTCTGTTGTGTGTGTGGATGTGTTTTCCTGGTTCTTTTAATTATTTTGGTGATATGAACAGATTGGTTGTGATGCCAAAGTAGCACTGTACATGAATAAGGAGGTATCGAGGGTCTTTACAAAAGAGAAGAATGGGAGGTAGCAGCTTTGGAAAAAGGGCCTTGTCAAAACAACATCTGTTATGTCACCCCGAAGACATCCTGAGTATGTTGGCACTAAGTAGGTATAGTGTCCTCATTTGGAAACCATTTTTATTTTCCTCTTTTATCTGATTTTATTATGAAAATCAATTATAGTAATTGATAATATGATCTATGTTGCTGCAGGATCCCACTTTCATAATATGCCAGCAGTATTTGTATCTTTCAACTGTTGTCTGTTGCTGTAGACCAACCACTTTTGTGTGTTTAAAGGTACTTTAAATGTTGATAATCTTGGGAGTACCTTTCATATAATATTGGCTGTTATACTTGGGAAAAATATACAATACTACCTCTGTTGCTAAAGAGCATGGGAAGATTAACTTTGCCTTCTCTTGCACATGTTCTTTGAACTTTTGTTGCTTATATATGACTCGTAATTTCTTGGTTTCTTTTTTATATTTATGATTGCGGTCGTGGACTGGTTCGGTTTTAACATGGGATACATTAATACGGATGCATATATTTGGTTCTTGTATTTATGATGCGGTTTGTTTGTCTTGCAGCACTGGGAGCGCCTTTGTGAATGTAATCCAAGGAGACGCCGCCTCCGATATCGCCACTCTCTTGCGGGATTAAACAAACTGTTATTCATAACAAAGAATGTAATATCATAACTAATTTCTTAGAAACATTGTTGTGCTAGCTAGTTTTGCTCTTGTATGAATATTTGTATACAATAAAATGAGTTTTTTTAAAAAAAAATTATTTAATTATTTTTGAATTTTTTGTAGCACAATGATATTTATAAGATGTCTTCAACCACCTGCCCTAATATTCTATAAGGAATTGTCGAAGCATTTCATTGTATAGAGCATTTTTTAATGACATGGTCGCTAAAAAGCGTCGCCAACTTGGAAAATATATACAAGTTGATAAATTATATACTAGGTGTTAAGGACAGTAAAAGTGTCGACAACTTTATAATCATAGACATGAAAAAGCGTCGAAAACTTTTAGAAGTTGCGCGAAAAATCCAAATCTGGACGCTTAGTATAAAAATTTGGACGCAAATAAGTGTCGAGATTCTTGACGCTTTTTTGTGTCCTACAAATTTCTCGACTCACGTTTTTTCGATGCTTTTTTAAAGCGTCGAGAAAAAAAATATCGACGCTTTTTTCCGTCGAAAATAGGCCTTAAAAGCGTCGAAAATATACGGAAATTCTTTAATATCAACAATAAATCAACACAATTTCCAAATTAATCACAATTAATCAATCATACAAGTTTCACCCGATTCCTAGACAAAAACTACTCAAATATCATCATCTATCAACAATCAACTAAAGAAATCAAGAATCAACCATCAAAATTAAACAAAGCAATAAGGAGAGATAGAGTTAAGAATGCTCATTGATAATAGAGAAGATCTTCAACACAATTGTCACCCTTGTATCTTCAATCTCTCAATCACCATTGAAATCCATCACTTTCTCTCTTTAAAACTACTCCTAATCTAGGGATAGGAACTCCTAATCTACCCCTAATCCTACTTAGAGAAGAGAGAAACTATTCTAAACTAAAGTATTTCATGTCTGAAGAATAAAGAAGGTCGTACAATATATATACAAAAGGAGAAAATAAATGAAATCGCAAGTAAAACCAAGAAACCCGCGCGCGCGGAAGAGAAAACCCCCAAACCCGCGGCCGCGGATTTTCCTCTCAAAGTTCTTGGTCGAAAATGGTTGCTAAGAGGCTGCAACAGCCCCCTCGCTCGCGGCCAGCAGACCCCGCGCATGCGGCAGATTAGCATGACCAAGCTGTAACTCACAATCTAAGAATTGTATTAAGGCGTGCAACCTATCATTAGAAAGCTCTTCAAGTATAGTTTCCAACCCAACTTGAATTACTTCAATCCGATCTGTAGAACTCAAGATATGGCTGAAATAATGCACAAAGGTCCTTTTTGATACTTTGCAAACCTTCCTTTTCCTTTGTTTCTAACTCAAATTCAATTCCGAAAAGTGCATATCGATCCTATTGGATGCTATTTTCAATTCCCATGCATATATCCCACGGCTGTGCTGCTGCGCTTCTAGGAGCTCAGGCTCGCTTCCTTGACGCTCAGAATCGCCACCTCGGAACTCGAGTTTGCAAAGCTTGCTTGGATTGGCTTGACTTGCGTGCTTGGCTTCCCTAACTTGACTCTGTTAAATTCCTTAAATGCACTTGAGCTCCCTCCTTGATTATTAAATCCGCGGGAACTCAACGTACCTACAAAACAAGACAAAGAAACAGAGAAGCGAGAGAAATAGCCGAGAAATGAATAAAATGATAAGAAAACCATTAAAAGCACGCATTTCTCTAAACTAACACAAAAACACATAAATCGAGCATTATTCTCTATAAACACGACATAAACGAATAAAAATGAGCTTAGAAATATAAAGAAAACATAGCCTAAAGGTTCCATAAATGGCACGGATCAATGACCTTGTTGTCATAGAATGCAAAGTGGCAACCAGTTGGTTGGTCGCATCTTGATTGACACAGGAAGCTCCTCAGATATCATCAGCCGCAAATGTCTATCCAACCTCAAGTATAAGCCGGATAGCATGATGGATGTCTCTCATACCCTTGCGGGCTTTGGGGGAGGAGTTGTGCATCTAGTCGGACGCATTAATTTGCCCATCCGATTGGGGAAAGAAGGTAGCGGTTGGCACATGACCATCCAAATCCTGGTGGTTGAAGCGCTGACCGCTACAATCTTATCCTAATTCGACCCACTCTTAATGAGTGCAAGGCCGTCATTATCCCTGCTCTCATTCTTGTTAAGTATGAGAAGGATGATGGAACTGTTGGCTCCCTGAACAGGGACTAGATTACGGCTTGAGAATGCTATCTCTCGTACGTCAACCTTGCGCAGCTGCAGCCGGTCAGGGCAAAGAGCCAATAGACCTTGATGATATTAAGAATGATCATCCGACCCAACCAGTTGCTAAGAAAAGAAAACACGATTAGGTGGTGGCGGTCAAGCAAGAAAAGCAATAGCAATAACTGACAAGGGAGCGGTCAGATGACCTCCGTCCCCAGCCTGCTGGAGAAAACATTGTTATTTCTCTGGATGATAGTCGACCAGAGCGAACTGTTAAAGTGGAAACGACTGCTTTTACTAAGCTCTTGCAAGCCTGCACCAAATGGCTGAAAGAATTCAAAGACATCTTTGCCATTGAAGTGGAAGAGGTGCCAGACATCAACGCAGATCTTGCCTTCCACAAACTCGTTGTGTATCCTAAAAAAAAGCCCATTCGGTAAAAGAAAAGAAACCATTGCGAGGAGAGACGTCAAGCGGCAGCCTTCGAAGTAAAAAAGCTTTTTGATTCTAGGTTCATTCGGCCTTGTAACTTACCTGATTGGGTTGCAAATATTGTGCTTGTAAAGAAGCCGAATGGTACTTAGCGCATGCGTGTGGATTATAGTGACTTAAACAGAGATTGTCCGAAGGATAGCTATCCACTTCTAAATATCGAGAGTTTGGTCGACTCTACAGCCGGACATGCCCAGATGAGCTTCATGTATGCCTATTCACGCTTCCATCAGATTTCCCTGTGGAAAAAAGATCAAGAAAAGACGACATTCGTCACTTATTAGGGGTTATTCTGTTATAATGTGATGTCGTTTAGTTTGAAGAATGCGCCTGCTACTTTCCAACGCATGATTAATACAATCTTCATTAATCAAATTGGGAGGAATGTAGAGGCGTATATTAATGACATGATAGTAACATCCAAACAGCAGGCGGATCACCTTGCTGACCTTCGAGAAACATTCGCTACACTCAGGCGGCACAAGGTCATGCTTAATCCAAAAAAGTGTGTCTTTGGTGTTGAGTCAGGGAAGTTTCTCGGATTCCATATTGACCAAAGGGGATAGAGGCTAACCCCAAAAAAATACAGGCAGTGATCGACATGCAGTCGCCCCGTACTATGAAGGAAGTAAAAAAATTAACTGGTTGTCTGGCAGCTCTGGGAAGATTTCTAAGTCGGTCAGGCGACAAGTGGCTGTACTTCTTCTAGGCGAATAGGAAAAAGACTAGATTTGAATGGGGGGATGATGCTAAGGTAGCCTTCTAAAAGCTAAAAACTCATCTTCACTCTTTTAGAGGTTGGTCAGTCCCTTTCCTAAAGAGGCTCTCTGTATGTATCTGGTTGTTTTAGATCATGCCCTTAATGTCGTTCTCTTAGCTGAAAGAGACAACATCCAGCTCGTGGTCTACTTCATTAGCCACGTTCTTAGAAACGCGGAACTTCGGTACCCCATGGTCGAAAAATATGCCTCGCCCTTTACATGGCTGTCAAGAATTTGAAGCCTTAATTCTTCGCACATTCGGTTATAGTCTACACTGACTAACTGATCAAGCGACAATGACGACCCTGGAATCCTCTAGCTGAATGCTCAAATGGGCTATTGAGTTGCGGGGACTGGAAATCACTTTTGAACCAAGGAAGGCAATAAAGGGGAAGGCATTCGCCGACTTTATTGTTGAAGGCCGGCTGAGCCGGACAATATCAATCAGGTTTGGAAAGTGTATGTGGATGGGAGTTCCACGATGAACGACTATGTTGCAGACATAATTTTCCAGTCTCCTGAGGGGGAAAATTATGAATATGCACTACGGTTCAAGTTCCAAGCCTCAAAAGAAGAGGCCGAGTATGAAGACCTTCTAGCCGGCATCCGAATGTGCAAGGTGGTAGGGATAACAAAGATTGATGCCTGCTCTGACTCTAAATTGGTCGTTAACCAGTATAATGGTGTTTATGAGGCCACTTATCCGTCTATGATCAAATACTTGCAGGCGGTAAAAGATGAAGCCGGGACACTTTAAGACTTTAATCTAAGTCAAGTGCCCAGATCAGCAAACAATCAGGTGGATGCTCCATCAAAACTGGCGTCATCCGCCTCATGTGAAACGCCTCGGTCAGTCTTCTTGGAATTCATGGAAAAAATGAAGTATATCTTATGAAGAGCCCATTAGTGTCCTTAACCAAAGCTTTACCTGAATGGATAGCATCCGGGTAGATCTTACAGACGACACACTCCCTGATTCACCTGAGGAGGCGGCCGTGCTAAAGAAATAGGCTGCAAGCTTTGAGATAAGACAGGGAGAGCTTTTCAAAGCCGGTTTCCTAAAGCCTCTTTTGAAGTGTGTGACCGAGAAAAGGTGCAAGAAGTTCTTGAAGAATTGCATGCCGGAAACTATGCCTCTCATATAGGTGGCACATCCATAGTTGTTAAGGCCACGCGGCATTAATTTTGGCCTACCCTTGAGGCGGACGCTATGGAGATGGTTAAAAAATGCGACAAGTGTCAAAAATTTGGCAAGCTAATCCATCGTCCGGCCACCAACCTGATGGAAATCCACAGTCCAGTATCGTTTGCTAAATGGGCCATGGACATCCGAGGCCCATATACGGCTGCTCTAGGCATCAAGCGCTAAATCCTAGTGGTTGTGGAATACTTCATCAAATGGGTAGAGGCGGAGGCGGTAAAAACATCAAGAAAAACGACGTCATTTCCTTCATCTAGAAGAATATCATCACCCGTTTTGGGGTGCCTATTTCTATGCTTTTTGACAATGGTCCTCAGTTTGAGACCCTCAATTAAAGACTTGATTTGGAGATTAGAGGATCTCCAACTAGTCGGCCAACCCCAAGCAAACGGCTAGGTCGAAGCCTTCAACAAGTTAATCTCAAACGGCATAAAAAAGAAAATTGAAAGAGCTGGCGGCCCCTGGGCGCGCGGATGAATTACCACACGTCCTATGGGCCATCAGAACA